CAGCTCTCCCTCTGCTCTGTCAGTGCCGCTGTTGCCCTGCATCTGTATTGCTGCTGCTGCTCTGTAAGCCCCGCCACCATCCCAGCATCCACCTGTAGGCTCCGGCTAGGGGTTTAAGGTATTTGTGCATCACTCCCCAATATCTCTATGTAAACATATCTGTGGGGAATGATGAGGTCAGAGCCTAGACGCCAAAATCTAAATATGCTATACTGCTGTAGTGTCTGACTGAACTGTACGGATGTTAGCTTTAGTTAGCGAGCAATGTAGGAGAGAGGGCGAAACAGAGAGAAATGAGGATTACAGTGAGGTGTGCTATTTCACCACCATGCCAGGGATTTACCATTAAACATCAACCTGCTGATATTTAAGCATCACGGCCTCTGATAGGCTGTTTTAGAACCATGATCAGATAAAGGATAAAAAAAGTAAAAGTGACTAAACTAGCGAGCATTCAGCGATGCACAGCCATTTGGCTTACACCAGAGGTTCCCAACCGAGCAAACGGTCGACTCAAAATTCATCCAGACTGCCACTTTACACAAACTTCCTGCAGTTATTGTGTTCACTCCTGTTTCAATGGTACAGTGTATCAGTTGGTCTGCACTGTTGAATAGAATATGAAATATGCATGAAATATGTCATTTAGTTGTCATCAGTTTACTCAGTGACAGAAAAGGGGTCTTTTAAGGAAAAAGATTGGAAACCAATGACCCCACACATGGCAAACTAGTCCACACACTGCAGTCTACAACACAAGCAGCAACAAACAGCACTATTTTTTAACAAGCCATCACAAATAATGAATATGAAACAATCTATCAATGATGTTTATATCCAGCAGCTGCCCTGTTAAGGGGGTACTAAAGGGACGGAATCAGCGACAGTACAAACAGGCCACAGTGCCACCTCTGGTGCCGGCTGCTGCGTGCTGTCGAGAACCCCCTGGCAGCGGTGAGGGCTCCTCTCTGCTGCAGAAGACAGACCGGTCTGACTTTTTTTGTTGCCACAATCAAGACACACAAACAAACGTTATCCAAGATATTTAACAAAAATGCATGTTCATTAGGGTATTTCATATTATATTCAATGCATAACAATTGCAGTACAGAAGTGTACAATTAACCCACATAGTAAACACAATAACTGCAGGAAATTTGGATGAACTTTAAGCAGGTTTTTTCCTGAGTTTTCCTGATAGTTTTAGGAACTTTTAATTCAATTTTTGTGTATTTTTTTTCTTATTTTCAACAATCATGCATACTTCTTTTCTGACAAATTCAGTGTTGTCTTCTTACTAATGCCTTGGCCATGGTTCAATTAGTTATTTGTTTGTTTTATCTATGTACATTTCTAATGCAGGACGAGGCTATTAAGCAAGAGAGAGCTTTAAATTTAAATTTTAAATAAAAAATGTCTTGCTTATTTCTGACATACCTCCTGACAAACAAACACAGAAAACATAATCTCCTTGGCTGAGGTAATATTACAGGTAACATAATAACTGTACTGTAAGTAATACATTTCTGGGTACTTAAAATATTTTATTTGATCAGTTTCAAAAAAAATGTTCATCAATTAGCTTTAGTAATTTTAAATGACACTGAATTAAAATAATTAATCACATTACGGTGCATATCGTAATGTGACAGCTATGTGGGAGGTGATGATAAAGAAACAATATCATTGTTAAGGTTTGAGGAAGAGTTGATTTTGGGGGATGGACAAGCTGCTGGGGCGATCCTGACAGGAGGCCTGTGGAGAACTTAAGTTTACCTTATTTTTGCTTTATATTGATTTTTATATTGATTGATTTTTTTTGTTTCTTTTTAAGTTCACTTAATTGTCAAATCTTGTTTACATAGTTTTTATTTTTTTAGGGAACTATTCAAATGTTTTTGAACTTTGATATAGTGTGTTGTGGCAGTTAGTATTAGCTATCACTATTATGCTGCTGATTATGATCATGTGCCAGAGGCTCATTTATGACCATTTCTTCAGAAAACTGACAGTAAAAAAAGAAATCAGGTACATTTCCATTTCATTTTTCTCCTCAAGTTTTTCATTTTTAATTTACTGAAATAGATTTTGCACCAGATTTTTTATTATTTCAGTGACAGCAGTCAGGAACATTGTGTTCTTCCCTCTTCAGCAGGAGCAACCAACTCACGTGTGTGCTGGTTGCTTCCTGCAGGCAGCAGGTTTAAGACACAGTTTGAGCTAATCAGTATTGAGAAAGCAATTGCCTCCACAGATCTTATTCCATTATGGAGACTTTAAGCAAACTTGTGATTCAATACATGGTCAAATACTGAAGGCAAGGCACAGTCTGTCAGAGCGACTGCCAGGTGCAATCCCAATGTCATACTCTAGTCATTTATTTCATCATCTAGGAAATTGTGCATTATTATTAAGTAATGAGAAATAAATTATATTCAAAATACTCACAATTTTCCTGGGAAAGTCACAGGTGAATTCTGGGTAAATTCTGGGGTACTTGCTGGGTTTTGTTTGTAAAAGTGACAGAATTTGTTATTTTGTGAAAATCATTTCAACTGTGAATTTTCTGGTATTACACATCCATGTAAAACAGATGCAATGTGGAATGGAATGTGGTAAAAAGTTTATTCATGTATTTTCTCACCACTAGAGTACTAGTCACATCCACAGTGGACCAGAGGGCCCTGCAACCAAAATAAGGCTCCCGAAATAAGTGAATAGCATCTTTTTTTTTTTTTTTTCGTTAAAAGCTTTATTTGTACTTTTTGCATTTTCCATAATTAGGGAAATGTGCATTACATTCCTTTGGCAGACACTTTGGTTCAAAGCTACTTAAATATGTATTTTAATTTTTGGGGCTCAGTATCTCAAGGACATTTCAGCACATACATAGAAAGAAGCAGGGATCAGACCATCAACCTTAACCCCCCTCCAGACCTTATATATACAGTCAATGTTCCAGACAAGTATTAAGACCATGGCTGGCAAATAAAGCCAACACACAAGTTGCTGTTACAATTGTGGAAGCTGAGTTATGGAACAGGAATGGCAGAGCATTAGCAATTCAGATGGTTTAATAATTAAAATGTGGTTAAACATATCTTACAAGTCCATTAGGCAGTTGTCTGAAACAATCAAATCAAAATCAAAGTGCAGGTAAAAATCCAGTAAATTCAGAAAAAAATAAAACTGAGGGAGTAGTCAACACTGAAGAAACAGGAGGGAGCAGGCAGAAGGCAATACATATGAACATGGACGAACGAGCAATGAAAAAAGAAACTCAAAGACAAAATACACAGGTGATCATGGCGGGGCAGACTCTGAGAAAATCGGAGGGAAAACAGATAAAGACAGGAAGTTAAGTAAAACAAGACACAAGAGAATAAAAAATAAATCATGAAACAATCAAACCAAACCCCAAATCAAGACAGTAACAAAACCTGCAGTTCCTCTAACGGCCACTTGAGGCTGGCTCCAGTTAGTTCCCTACCCGGTTCAAGCCCATTGGTTTCCACTGAGAACAAATCTTTAAAAATAAATCACAAATATGTATTTTATTCTTTTTTTAAAAAACGCTCTGTAATTTCCTAAAACAGCTGGGCACTGTAGTTTTTAACAAACATTACTCAATCAGGAGGAACTGCATTTATTGGGCCGTGGATTAATACACAGTTTTTACAGCAACAGGACAAGCTATATCAGGCTTGGCTACACAGACAATAATGTGTTAGTATGTATGTTAGTAGGGTGCATTATGTGTTGGTTTTGCTCTTTGCTTTACACACTGAGAAAAAAATAAAAGTCTTATCCTTTAAGCAAATTAGCAGACGAGCATAAGGCATGTGCAAAATCTGCTCAGTATTCTCCTCTCACATGTTTATTTGGCACACATATCCATACAAATATGCATGCAATTAGTGCAATTGAACACATAAAATAATAATAATAATTAAAGCTGCAAGCAGCGTTGAGCGGGACCTCGCACTCCACCCAACTCGGCGTGCTGCGGCCGCGTCGCGTGCCATTCAGATTACATAGGTCTAATAAACATCATACAGAAACTGTTGTTAATGTTTTTATCTGGATAGATAAAGGGTAAGGTTAAGTTCTCTGTGGCTGAGAGCTTGATTGACAGCCTGGTGGTAACCTAGCAACTGTGCCTGACGCCTGTTGTGAACACATGGCTCATTTGAATATTAAAATTAGCCATGTGTTGATAGGTCACCACACGAAAATTGAGAGTTTTTCATACAGTCTTGTGTTGTTGACAACACATATAACTTTGTAGTGGAAAATGTATATGAATATGCTAAAATTATTTAATTTATAAGTGTCTGTAGCCGTCATTAATTTGATAGTGTTTATTTAATGTAAACAAATCAGTAAGTGAATGGGGAGGTTGTAAACTGCAATTTTATTAATCATGATATTTAATGTACTTAAACCATATTACTGTTTAGCGCTTTTGTGTTTATGGTACGAAATTACTAAAAAAATCCATTACATAATTTATAATGAAAGCATTCAATATGACATTTATTTTGACATTCTATTTCCGGTTGTTTTTTTGTTTTTTTTTAATGAGAAATTACGGTTTGCAGTTTGGTAGGACTGAACCATTTCATGCTGGGTTGAGGGTTTAGGCTATATCTTTTATTTTAGCTAAAATAAATTAACAGACACATATATATTTACTTCTGAAAATTATAAAACATTGTAATAGTACTAAACATTTTTATCAGATAATTAATGTCCAGTTTCACATTATTGTACAACACGGTTCATCGTAATGATCCAGCCCACCTTCCTGTACCGCGCTCTGATTGGTTGAACGGAACTTTTCGAATCTCGCCAGTAGCCTATATAGGTTCGCCGTAAGCTAACCGTCGTTCTTGCTAGCACAACAACAGAGAGAGAGATACGGAGCTGTTTTTGTGTACGCAAACCCTGAGAGATACTGAGAGAGAGTTGGAGAGCTATTGAGAGAGAGTTGGAGAGAGATATATATATATAAATATATATATATCTATACATACACACACACATTCATTCACTTTGGAAGCAGAGGATTTGCCTTCTACGGTGAGTTTAATTTTAAAAATTACAATCTGTATTATTGATAATAATGTATGTTCATGTTAATGAATGATGCATTGCTGAACAAAGCACTAACAGTAAATAAAATACCGTAAAACTTATAATAATTGTCCTGCGTGTATTTGCTTAAAACACTGAATTGGGGACCTGCGTTTATTTCCTTTAGCACAAACTGTTGCTCAGCACATATGGAAATATTCTGTAACTGTACTGCTTCTCTTCAGTTTCGTATGGTAATTGTAACTTACGGTACATTTTAGCTCTACTGCTGGTTTATATGCGCCGCAGCCATGACAGTGAACGTGAACGCCGCTTTACGTCAGCTGCATATTTACGTCATCCGGCCGGCGTACAGACAGTAAACAGACCGTGAGTGACGGACTATACATGATGATATTAATGTAATGAAACCTTTTGTAGTGATACATGGACTCTTAATGGAGGAACGGACACAGACCGTACAGACTTTATTCCCGCTTTAGAGTTGTTTACCGTCTCTGTTGTTTACCGTGTTAAGTCCGAATGAATTAACGTTATAACGTTAGTTTGGTCTTTATAGTTTCCGTAAAATGAAGTGAGCGATTGAATTGTGGAGACTCTATAACTAATGATCTTATCACGTGCATTATGTATATATTGACAGAAGTTTAAACATTTATATTTGTGTAGGACATTGAAACGGTTTAAAACCCTCTGAAGCTCTGAGTCTGTGCGTTTTACTACATCCGGATCATTTCATTCATCATTGCAGACCTGCGTTATTATTATTATTATTATTATTATTATTATTATTATTATTATTATTATAATAATTATTATTAATTATACCTTTTACTGGTCCAGCTCATTTAAGGTCAAATTGGGTTGTACACATACAACCCAATTTGTATGAACCAAAATGAGTTTGACACCCCTGCCTTAAAGTGTCTCGTGAGTGTGATTAAAACTCATTATAATTTATTCTTGCATCCTTTTAGATGCCACGTGGCAAGTCCTTTCGTCGCTCTGAGGCTGCTCGGAGGAGAGAGGCAGAGCGCGAGAAGGTTACCGTGGAACCTAAGTGGCCCAATCGTGACTTTGTTCCTCGTAAGTACACGTTTCATTCATTCAACTATTCTGCCTATATGTGTAAGGTGTTTATGTGTCGTAACTAATTTTGCAGTGGTTAATTAAGTTTTATTTTGGTGTTTGTTTCTGTGTTTTATAATAGGCCGTGGCACCGGTACACGCCATCGTGTGAGGAAATGGCCAGTTTCAGTCACGGGCCGCCAACACAAGCTGGTCATCCCAGCTGAGTCTCCTGATAAGAAGGTAATGCATTTCGCAATTTATAAACAAAATATCTGCTCTGATGATTGATTAGTGATTTTCATTCTAATGATATTCCTTCTGTGCCCCCTCCCCAGTTTGTTCTTATTGTAGGAGCGTCCCATCTGCGCTCCATTGCAGACGGGATCGTGCCGATGCCAGAGGGAATGCTTTCCTTTGGTGTCATGTCCACACCGGGGGCCTGTGCGTCCGACCTGAGGACCGAGTTACGCAACGCTGTCGTACCTCGGACCCCGGACGCAGTCTGCATCATGGCCCCCAGCAACAACCTGACAGCCAGCCGGACCCCCCTTGAGGCAGGAGCTGACTTCCAGAAGCTCCTGTACAGTGCCCGCAGTCGTTGGCCCAATGTAGGTTATTGATTATATTGTATTTACTATTACACCTTTTCGTACTAGGATTAATTTGGTTCCATGAGCTATTACAGTATAATGTACATTTATTTTAAAGGTTATGACATTTTGAGGAAAAGTACTTTATTAATGAACAACTATTATTACGTGCAGGTCTTTGTGTTGGACTTTGTGCCACGTCTGACTGTTGATCCTCAGCTACAAGAGTTCATGCGTCAAGAGTTCCATCGAGTGGCAGCAAGAATGGGTATGTTTCAAAAAAATATTTTGAATTTTTTTTGAATTATTATTATTATTATTTTGTCCATAATAGTCATTATTTTGTAATTTAAAAAGAAGATAATCTATTTAAGTATGTAAATAATTCATCAGCTTCTTGTTGTTATTTAAGGTATCAAGTACTTCTCGTCTTCTGGCCACTTCCCTTTGAACAACTTGGACCTGTGGAGCCCAGATGGTGTAAGTAGAGTATATTGTGAGGAAATGGAAAAGTTTGATGTACACATGGCAGTAGTTCAGTTCATAGCAGATGCAAATTGAGAGTACATTTTATGATCACTAAATGTATTACTCTAACTTTTGGTCAGGTTCACTTGAGTGATGGCGAAGGCATGGTGGTCCTCACTCGTTTGCTGTGGGCTGCAGCTTACGAGTCACTGGAGGTGCCTGTACCGAAACCGCAGGCCGCTCCCAGGACATCATTGCCTGTTCGTCACGTCACTCCAAGGGTCGTTGTGAGGGGAGAGGTCATCGTGCCTCGCCCCTCTAACCCTTACGAGTGGACGTCTGTGGAGAGGGGCAGGAAGGTAATATTTGCACACTGTAATTTTGGTGTTGAGACTGATTTTCTCCCAGCAGTTTATTTCTGTTATGGTGAGTGGGTACTTCTTTTTAACATATCGGCTGTTTTTCATTACAGAGGAACGTACCGGTACCTGAGGAACCTGCACAGTCCTCTGGTGCACCGAAAAAGATGAAGGTTCAACAGCAGGTTTGTTATGCTTTTACATAAATAGTTATGATAGGTTAATTGGTTATTTGTCCATTGATTATAGATGAAAGAAATTGTCTAATACTGTTTTATGTGTTTTTTTTTATGTTAGTTTGTTGCTACTCCTGTCGCGCTGAAGGAGTGCTTCATCCCGCTGAACCCCGTGAGGTTCAGCAGTTCCATGTTGGCTGTCATGGATGCTGTTGTCCCTTCCCATCTTCCTACCCCTGAGTGCACCGCTGTTCCACATGACAAAACGGTAATTTGCATTCAGATTGTATCTGTTGGTTTCTGCTTCTTCCTGAAATTAACACCCTTTAAAAATTGCTTAAGCCCAAAAGGAGCTTTTCCCCAAATATAGTTTTAAAGGTTATTTGGTTTCCTTCTTTACATTAGAAACCTGTCGTGGAACGTAGGCGGAAAGCTGTTGCCTGCAAGAGGAGACCTGCAAAGCGCCAGGTTTGTTTTTATTATATTAAATATTTTACTGGTTTGTACAGTTTGACAGACAGGCAGCAATAATTTAATATTTCTTTGTGTTTGCTGTATTTCGTCTGTTATTTAGATCATTAGAAAATACATGCCAACTTTACATTTCATTTTTGTAGTTACATTTTGTGTTGGTTGTTTTCAGGTTGAGGCAACACCTAGTGTTGTGGAGGTGTGTCCCCGTCCCACACCTGCCAGTCCTGTGAAAGTGGTTGCTGCTGCAGAGGTTGGTGCATGCTACACCATACATTTACACATGTGTTTTAAATGGAGAATGCAAAGATATTTCAGTATGCACCAAGTTGACAAAGTTGAACATGTTGAAATGACAAGACCTCATTTGAGTGAGTGTGTGTGTGTGTGTGTGTGTGTGTGTAAAAAAGTTGTATTTTGTTAATACACAATATTTAATTTTTGTTTGATTATTTTAGGCTCAGGTGACACCATGCGTGGTGGACACATCCCCAGAGCCTTCACCTGCCACGGCTGTGGAAGTGGTTGCTGCTGCGCAGGAGGAGGAGGTTGGTGCATGTTATATCACACATTTCACAAATGTGTTTTAAATGGTGCATGCAAAGCTGTTTTCTTGTTGATACAGTATATATTAAAGTTAAATACAACACAACTTTAAGGTTCACAAGTGTATGTTGAAAGTAACATGTAAGTAACAAATACATGTTTTTTTCTTTTTGTTTTTCTTTAGGCCCCGGTGACACCAGGCGTGGTGGATGCCTTCCCAGACCCATCACCTGCCACAGCTGACGAGGAGGAAGTCAGCACACCAAGATCCGTCAAAGATGAGTATGACGCTAACCCCATTGATTGCAGGTGTTTAGAAAACGAGCCAATAGCACCAGTAGTTTCCGGTAAACTCACAGCAGCACCATTAACTCAGGACGTAAATGTATCAATAGCGGGTAGTGTTGTAGCTGCGATAAAACATGCAATTGCTCCGGTTTGTACATGGCGAGGGAAAGATATTGATGATATCTGTGCAGAAGGTAGCAAGTTGGCCACTTTAGTTGCTGAAGGAAGCCAGGACAGTGTTGAGATTAAACTGTGTAAATTGATTGAACAGGGTAGTGTGTTTGGCAGGAAGTGGAAGGTAGACGTTACCTCGCCAGTGTACGGAGATTTTGGGTTTTTGGATGACGACAGTGTGATGTATGAACAGCTACAGGAAACTTTGCTGAGTGATGGAATGTGTTTGTTAAACCTCCAAGGTTCAGTCAGTGCGATTATTCATCACAATAAGTACTTTGTGGTAGTTGATTCGGGGACTCGTGATGCATCTGGGCTGGCATCTAGTTTTGGCAGACCTGTAGCTGTTTTCAACACATCCGTGCGTGACCTGATGTACCATATCAGAGATCTTAAGAGGTCTTTGGGTGCAGAGTGGTATGCTATTAGCAGCGTGTCTTTGACAGCCGGTTCAGTTGATCCTGACATGGACAGTGCTACATTGCTGACAGATGTAGATGTCGATGTCACAGCTGCAACTGCAGCTGTAGTCGAGGGTGGCAGTTCACAGAGTAATGCAAGTTCTGTCAGGGGATCTTTCCATCAGGCAGATACTCGGTTTCAACACGCTGGAGTTCAGTGTATGGCTATCAGTTTGGTAGCAGTAGCAAAACACTCCATTGATAGCGTGTTTTCATGGCAGACCAACAATCTGGACAAGGTTGTTGTGTTAGGTAATAAGCTCTACAATACGTTGAGGGACAGCAATGTGACCAGTGAGGTTTCGGAACTGCTTAGTGTTCCAGATTTGCCCCGACACTCTGTTATTGATGGACAGACATTTGACTTTGAGTACGGGGATTGTGTTTCTGGATATGTTGATGTAGTGACAGGTGATCTGATTGATGCTGGTGTAATCACCAGTCTCAGATCTGGATTAGATAAGATGTTTAGTAAATATCACACATGTTTTCTGACATTGGGTGGAAATACATGTGCAATCATTGGTGAAGGTGGTCGTTTTGCTGTGGTTGATTCGCATGCGCGCAGTGCGGATGGGATGGTGGATGTGGAAGGGAAGAGTGTTGTTGTGTATTTCACTTGCCTAGATGATGTTTTTGGGCACATCTGCAAATTTGCAACATCATTTAAACCTCCCAAACAGTTTGAGATTGCTGGTGTTTGTGTAATCCCCAGATGTCCAGTTCCACCCAGTAGTACGTTATCCGGTCCAAAGGTAGTAGTAGAACGCAGGGCAAGTCAGTCGGGTTGCAGTTTACCTGTTCAGCCAACAGTTGGCTGCACAAGTATAAAGCGTAAAACATCAAGCAGTGTGTCTTCATCAAAGAAGTCGAAAAACAGTGATTTTGCTGCAGTTAATTCAGATGTTGTTTTTGTAGCTGATGTTGTGAGTAAAGGGCTCCAGTTTAATCCACTTTGTGGGGAAGTTGTAGACACTCTGTGCAAACAGTTAAATGTTGATTCAGAGAAAGTAGATTTAGTTTCTACAGAAGTTGGTCCGTTGGGTGCTCCTTGTCTGAAGGAGAAAATAGTTAGCGATGGTAACTGTTTCTTTAGAGCAGTTAGTCAGGCTGTGTGTGGTACACAGAAGTATCACAGGAAAATTAGACTTGCTGTTGTAAAGCATTTGAGAGCTAATGGTGGTATTTTGAGAACTGAGTATTCTTCAATGGAGGAATATCTCAGTGTGTCAAAAATGGCCTATGTCGGTAGTTGGGCCACTGAAGTGGAGATTCAAGCTGCAGCAGATTTTTTGGGAGTTGGTATATTCACTTACTGTGACAATCGCTGGCTTGAATATAGTTGTAAATACAGACCGTTGTCAAATCAGGGAATTTATTTAGAAAATTGCAATGGTAACCACTATGAGACTGTTGTTTGTGTTCAGCAGCCAAACGTGCAGTCTTGCTATGGGTATTGCAAAGTGGGTGGGTCTAGGTACAATTTCAGAGAACGTAGTGTTTGTGCAGACACTTTGACTTCAGTTGCTTTGTCAAGTTGTGATGCTGAAGTAGAAATTATTCAACAAAATGTAATGGAACAGCAGTGTAGTACATTATCTGTAAAGGCCCAATCCCCAAATAGCTTAAATGTTAAGTCTCCATCTAAGTACTTTGTAAGGAAAAAGAAGTTACAGAAACAAATCAAATATCAGGAAAACAGGCAGAAATTTCTAGAAAAGATGAAAATGAATTATCAGGCAAAAAGTTGGTACAAGGAAAAATTGAAGGAAATGAGTAAAACTAAATATCAGACAAGTCTTTCACACAGGGACAGAGTAAAGACATTTAGTAAAACTAAATATCAGAAAAATAGTTCGCACAGGGACAGAGTAAAGACATTTAGTAAAACTAAATATAAGATAAATCTTTCACACAGGGACAGAGTAAAGACATTGAGTAGAAAGAAATATAGAAATCGTCAGCATAGGCAGCGTGTTATTGCACGTATGAAAATGAGGAGGCAACGTATAAAAGCAACATTAAAGGAGTTTGATTTAGTTATGAAGCAGTTTTTGGGTAAAGTAAATGATGGCCCGGATTTTGTCTGTTGTGTGTGCTTTAGAGGGTTGTTTTGTCATCAAGTTTTACCTTGTAGAAGGAAGGATTACAGTAGAAGAAAAGAAATAGGTTTAATTGCAGATAGATGTATTAGTGAAGAGTATTTGCATAAATGTAATCCAGATTGTGTATTGCCTTGTCAGTGGTTAGATACAGCTAGGGGTCAGTTGTGGATTTGTTTGAGCTGTCACAATAAAATTAGTAGAGGTATAATGCCACCTGAATCTGCTTTAAATAATTTGGCGACGTGTTGTATTCCACCAGAATTGGCATGCTTGAATACTTTAGAGCAACATTTAATTGCGCTGCATATTCCGTTCATGAAGTTGCTGGCGTTGCCTAAAGGTGGGCAAAATGGCGTCCATGGGCCTGTAACGTGTGTTCCTGCTAATATTGTGCAGACGAGCAATTTGCTGCCGCGTTCGGACATGGATGGATCTTTGCTACCTGTCAAACTGAAGCGCAAACTCACATACAAGGGGCATTATGAGTACCAGTTTGTTGATAGTATGCGCATTAAGCAGGCTTTACAGTATTTGAAACGGACTAATGTACATTATAAGGATGTAGATTTTAATGAAGCATGGTTAAATGAGTTTTGTAGGGAACAAGAGAGTGTGGCACAACAGGATAGTGCAGCAGTAGATGGTAATGGTAGTGATGACAGTATTGCTGCTGCGGAGGAAGGTGAGCTTCTGCATGACAGACAACAACATTGTATGTTTCAGGACACTTGTCTTATGCCTGTTGACATTGGTCAAGAAGCACTTGATCAATATTTTGATAACATATTAAATTTAGCTCCAGCAGAAGGCAACACTCCTGTCAAGTTGTTGTCTGATCATTCAAATGAAGCAAAATGTTTCCCGGTGTTGTTTCCGACTGGATCTGCGACATACCACGACAGCAGACCTCATCGCTTGACTTTGTGCCGTTATTTTAATAATCGTATTTTACATGCTGATGGTAGATTTGCACAAAATGTTGATTATATCTTCTTTGCTCAGTACATGTCTGAGGTTCAACAGGTTGTGTCAAATGTATCAATAGCATTACGGAAGGGAAAAGGAGGGCAATTTAAAAAAATAACCACGAATGTATTAAATGATGAGGAACAATTAAAGCAGTTGTTGCAGTTTGATGATGGGTATCGCTTTCTTAAACCTATTAGAGGTACCCCATCTTTTTGGCAGGGCGTGCAGCGTGACTTGTTGGCTTGTGTTCGTCAGCTGGGGATCCCGACGTGGTTTTGTTCTTTTTCTTCTGCTGATATGCGGTGGAAGAATCTTTTGAATAGCATTTTGAAACAGGAAGGTAGGACAGAGACGGCCGAAGAGCTGGAGTGGGCAGATAGATGTGAACTTTTGCGGCGTAATCCCGTTACTGCAGCGAGGATGTTCGATTTTCGCTGGCATTGTTTTTTGAAAGAGGTTTTAATGTCTCCATCTAATCCCATTGGCAAAATAATAGATTACTTCTATAGGGTTGAATTCCAGCAGCGTGGTTCACCACATGTTCACTGCCTGTTTTGGATAGAAAATGCGCCAATAATTGATAAAAATACTGATGAAGAGGTAATTCAATTTATTGATAATTATGTAACATGTGAATTACCTGCACGAGATGAGACACTATTGGACACAGTTTCATCTGTGCAAAAGCATTCCAAACGGCATTCTAAAACATGCAAAAAAATAGAACTGTTTGTCGTTTTAATTTTCCTAAACCTCCGTCTGCGAGAACTTTTATATCTCGCCCGCCTGTTGATGACGAGGAGGAGGATAAAACATGCACATGTCAGAAAGATGGAGCACAAAAATTGGCAGATTGTGCATGCAAAATTAGGAAACAGAAAAAATTAGAACAAAAAGCAATGGCAGTGAACATTACAACAAAAATTAAAATGGCCCTTTCAGATGACAATGCCAGTTTTGACAGTGTAGAGCAATTGTTTAGTCATTTACACATAAATCAAAGGATATTTGAGAAAGCGTACAATATTTGCGCTAAAAAGACGCACGTTGTTTTAAGAAGGCAAGCTAATGAGGTTTGGATTAATCAATATAGCAAACCACTTTTAAAATGTTGGAATGCGAATATTGACATCCAATATGTTGTTGACGCTTATGCTTGTGTAGTGTACATTATTTCCTACATTTCAAAAGCAGAGCGTGAGATGGGATTATTATTAGGGAATGCACAGAGGGAGGCAGCTAGAGATGGAAATGGCAGTGCTAAAGACGCGCTTAAAAATTTAGGAAGTGTGTATTTACACAATAGAGATGTGTCTGCACAAGAGGCTGTCTACAGGTTGACTAGCATGCGTCTGAAGGAGTGCTCTAGGAAAGTTGTTTTTGTTCCAGTCGGGAATTCTGCTGTTAAAATGAGTTTGCCTTTATCTGTGTTAAAACAAAAGGCATCATCACATGACCTTACCACAGACGATATGTGGATGACTAGTTCTGTTGACAGATATAAGAATAGGCCAAGAGACGGTACCTTTAATGATATGTGTATGGCAACATTTGCCTCAGAGTACCGTGTTTTGAGCAAATCCGAGATGTCTGTCAACAGGATAGAACTAGAGAACAATTGTGGCTTCATTTTGAAAAGAATACGTTCCGAACCTGCAGTTGTTCGTTATGCGCGCTTTTCAGAAACCAAGAATCCAGAATTGTTTTATCAGAGTGTTATGCAGTTGTTTTTACCGTTTCGCACAGATGTGCACCTGAAACCGCCAGGGTTTGAAACATTTGAACAATTCTATAGTCATGGTCATGTGACATTAAATGATGGAGTGCTGCATTCAGTTAAGTCAATTGTCGATTCAAATCGCAGCAGATTTGAAATCGATGCTGAAGAGTTGGATAATATCCAGAATTCGGTTGACGCTGATGCAGTTCTAGAAGACGCCTGGTGTGAGCTCTGTCCGGAGCAAGAACAGGAGCGTCTACAGTGTTTGGAAGAGCGTAGGGAGAGTGAACAACCTTCAGATGAGCCTGTAGAAAGTATTCCGGATTTAGCAGTTAGTAATAGAGAAGTTTCTCATTTAGAGAAAAGGCAGAATGTCCTGTGCAGAAGTGATGGCTTGGCCTTAATTAGATCTCTTAATGAAACACAGCTGTCTATATTCTACCAGATTAGACAGTGGTGTTTGAGTAAAGTTAATGGGGAAAAAATAGCTCCGTTGCGCGTTTTTGTTACAGGTGGTGCAGGGACAGGTAAAAGCCACTTAATAAAGGCTATTCAGTATGAGGCAATGAGGTTGTTGTCAAGAGGATGTCGCAATCCGGACGACATTTGCGTTTTGCTAACTGCTCCTACGGGGATAGCTGCACACAATTTACATGCAGGTACTATTCACACTTCATTTAGCATTGGTAAAGATGTGCGCTTGCCTTACACGCCACTTGGTGAGGAAAAGCTCAATTCTTTACGTGCTAAATATAGTAACTTGCAGATTTTGATAATTGATGAAATCTCCATGGTTGATCATAAACTATTGGCCTACATCCATGGACGTTTAAGACAAATTAAACAGTGTGGTGACTATTCCCCGTTTGGAAATGTTAGCATAATTGCAGTTGGGGATTTTTATCAGTTGCCTCCAGTGAAAGGGAAAGCATTGTATTTAGATGATGTCAGTGTTGGCTTGTGGACTCAGTTTCAGATTGTAGAACTAAAAACTGTAGTCCGACAAAAAGATGTTGTGTTTGCGGAGTTGTTGAACAGAGTGAGAACTCGTTCAAAAGGGACCCCGATGCTGGATTCGGATGTCCAATTACTAAAGAGTTGTGAAACCGGTGAAGTCAGCTCAGCTTTACACATTTTTCCTACCAACAGACAAGTAAATGAGCATAATATTAAACAGTTATTCGAGAGTTGTCCTGAATATGTTAAGATAGAGGCAAAAGATTTTGTAAATAGTAAGAAAACAGGCAAGCTTGAGTTGAAGGAAGGACATCATAGCAGAACATATGATACATGTCTGGATGAGACCCTGCTTTTGGGAGTAGATGCTCGTGTAATGCTGTTAAAAAATCTGGATGTCGACGATGGTTTAGTGAACGGTGTGTGCGGCACAATCACACATATAGTTTATCCAGATGATGATGATAAGTTCCCACAGATGATTTATGTTAAGTTTGATGATCATCGGGTGGGAACACAAAGGAGGAAACGCTCAGCATTTGCCTCCGCTGTTGAAACAGGTTCCACGGGCATTGAACCAGAAGAGGAAAGGGTGACTAAACATGGTGGATTGCGCCGGCAATTTCCACTAAAGCTTGCCTGGGCTTGTACAGTCCATAAAGTCCAAGGACTTACTGTAGATAAAGCCGTAGTTTCACTAAAGAAAATCTTTGCAGCTGGTCAAGCATATGTGGCTTTAAGTCGAGTTAGAGGTTTGTCTGGTTTAGTTATTCAGGATTTTAACGAGAAAGCCATATATTGCAAAGACAACATTCAGGATGCAATTGCAACAATGCCTCCCTTCTTGGCGACACAGGCACAGATTACAGGTTGTAATTTCACTACACCACCTTTTAATGTGTTTTTGATGAATGTGCAAAATTTGACTCAACATGTAACTGATTTGGCTTTGTGTACACAGCATCTGCAGCTTAACTGTATTGCTGTTACTGAAACATGGCTGCCTGCAGTTTCCTCATTGGAGACTGTAAAAATGGATGGTTATGCTTTTCACAATCATCCAAGGAGTTTGTCCTACAATAGCAGCAACCCCTTATTAAAAGAAATTCAAGACCAACAACATGGTGGAGTTGGCATGTATAGTGCAGAGAATTTGGCATACAGTATTATCCAGGTACCAAATGTAAATTTAGAATGTTTGGTTTACCACTGCACTACATACGCTATATTAACTGCAGTTATATATAGACCACCATCATATACCATAACATTGTTTAAAGAAAACCTTGGCAAATTAGTTGATTGGCTGAATCACAAAAGTAACACCATTGCTGTCATGGGAGACTTCAATGACAATATTTTGAAATCATCATCAATCTGCAAATTCATGACTGACCAAGGGTTTATCCAAATTGTCAAACAAGCAACAACAGAAAAAGGCACATTAATTGATCATGTGTATGTGAAAACATCACATTATGATGTACAGTCTGTTGTCTTGCCGACATATTTCAGTGACCATGAAGGGATTCTATGTTCATTTACATCCAGGAGTTTGGAAGATGAACAGGGACAACTTGAATAACTGTACCATCTGTTTTATGGAATCTTTTAAATTAATATATAATGTGTATATAATATTGTATATTTATGCATTTTAATCTTAATTTATCATATTAATGTAGTAATATGTGTTAAGGTTTCGTTTCCTGCATTACAACAGCATTTATTAATGAAAAATATCTCAAACATTAACCACTCAAAACTGCACAAACTGCAAAGTTATCCACAATTGGCAAAAAATGTAAAGTACAGTTATGCCATGAAATGCTGGCACTTATATGCTGTTGCTAGTGCAGGTTTTGCTTTACCTTCATGTAGTGTCAGAAAGCAAAAGATACCGGTAATGGTACTCCTGGTTTACTGGGATGGGGTTCGATTCCCTGCGGTGTCCTGCTGATTTTTTTTGACATTTACATGAAAGCCCATGTTTGTAACTCAAAACTATGGGGGAAAAATCCATAAATGTCATGTTACTAACATGTGCTTCTTCCCTGCAGTTTTTGTGCCTTTTTGTCTTGCAGATTCTCATGGATACTGGTTGTGCCTGCTGCTATGACTATGATCCTGCTTGACACCCTGCTTGATATTATTGTTACTATTGTCATATTTTTTTATGGCTGTTTATGTTGTCATTTTCATCAGCAATATCATTATTACTCGTAGTATTATACTTGTTGTTGTTAGTATTGATGTTGCTATACATCTCTTTCTCTCTCAGTATAGATCTGTCTCTACCTGAGAGATCTACTCTATTTAAACTTGTCAGTCTGTGATAACTGTTATGATGTTGCACTATACAAATAAAATTTAATTGAAATTCAATTGGTTTTGGTTTCTGTTCCTATGTGGCAACTCCATTTATAACAGTACAAATTACATAGTTTTATGTATAGTATTATGTAATATTAAATGCTGTCTCTTATATGCTATTTCTTATTCAGGTTTTCCCTTACCTTCCTTTGTATTGGTTTCTATTAGTTAGTGTAGAATAGATATGAATGTCTTGATTGATGATTAAACAGCCAACTCCAATGGCTGTGCAAAAAACAATACAATTATTAAAACATACAATTTGAACACAGGACTTAGTAGTATGTACATTTGCAAATAAATATGGTGCTATATACAGTGTAATATATATATTGCACATTATGTATATTATATATTGCACATTATATATATGTGTGTGTGTATATATATATATATATATATATATATATATATATATATATATATATATATATATATATATATATATATATATATATATTGCCCATTATGGTGTGGAATATTGCACATTGTATGGTATTGCACAGAAGGAAAGTGTTTAATAGCTAGTGTATTAGTTTGTATTAGTTGTTACTATTGCTGTATATGTATACTTGTACATATATAACTGTTATGATGTTGCACTATACAAATAAAATTAAATTGAAATTCAATTGGTTTTGGTTTCTGTTCCTACATGACAACTCAATTTATAGCAGTACAAATTACATAATTATCCAAATCTGTATTCTGTAATGTTAAATGCTGTCTCTTATATGCTGTTGCTTATTCAGATTTTCCCATACCTTCCTTTGTTTATGCATTTTCTGAAATTTTACACTAATAATGGGTTATGTACTTCTGTTACTAGTACCACTACTGTTTGGTTGGACAAAGGACACTGTAATTCTGAGAATTTCCTGTTGCCACCAGTTGGTACTATCACTATTACTGAATA